GCCAGAGGTATATATTTGTTATTTCCCTCATGAAAACAGTAACAAATTTGCCCAGCGGATCAAATTCCGCCATTTTGGCTGTGGATGGAACTATCTTATAGTGAAGTAATTCCATTCCCTAGAGAACAACTCCACTGAGGACTACTCCTGCAGTTCTCATGCCAAAGAAAGTGTGGTCTGCATAAGGGCTAGAGGATCAGGCCCTGTATGTGGACATTCATTCGCTATAGTCAGAACTGTAATTTCCACACTGAAATGCAGTTGCACTATATCCATGTTCATTTTTAAGCCAAATCCTTAGACCCACTAACAAGATTGTAAGGGGTGCAGATGTTACTTATTGCTGCATAATGCTGTCTGATGGACAGCATAGGTGCTGGAACTAGGGTTGCTGCTGCATCCCCTGGTTTGAAGTGGTTTCCATTATATACAGGGTTTATAGTTTGTTTCAATAGCTCTCAGCACCCCCCACTATAAAAATTGTTCCAGCACCCCAATGGACAGTCAGGCTTTGTGCAGAAGAAGGGAAGCTCAGTGCGGCTACAGTGACATCAGTCTCTCAAAGGGCCCTCTGCAGGCCCTGGTTTCTCTCTAGCTTCCCCATGGCAAAAGGGGCACAAGGATCTGGAGACCCCTAGCATTTTTTTTTAAAGTTACCTTTGAAGGGAGGGTATCTGTCTGCTGTTCTTCTCCCACCAATTGTCATAGGGTTGTTCTTTGCCGATTTGCTTCAATAGGTCCTGCCCTCTTCCTGGCTGATGTACCCGTTTCACAGCTGTTGTCCAGAGGTGCTTGTTGTGGACCACGTAGCCCATTCAATCTAACCTCCCTGGCTGACACTCATCTGTTCTAGCTCTGGCACTGAAGGGGCTCTTGCTCCTCTGATACCATTCTTCACTAAATACCTGACTACCAGATTTGGCATTCAAGAAGAGAGTGAGGAGGATGCAGACACAGATGAAGTCATAGGGCTCATTCTCCACTCCACTGGCAGCGTAGCGAGATAACAACGAAGTAGAAAATCAGGCCCGTTGACTGTGCTCTGGAGGAAGATTCAATAATCACTTTCCATAAGTTGCCCTCCTAAGAATTTGAATAGGGCTCTGTAAATATAAATCCAGGCCACACAGCACAAGTTGGCTCTGCACTACAGACCCTGGTAAAGCCAGGATTTCGTCTCATAAGCATGTTACACTCAGGGCCGGCTCCAGGCACCAGCCCAGCAAGCAGGTGCTTGGGGCGGCCAAGGGGAAGGGGCGGCACGTCGGGCTGTTCGGTGACAGGTCCCTCTGGGAGGGAAGCACCTGCCGCCGAATTCCCGTGGAAGAAGAAAGCGGCGCGGTGGAGCTGCCGCTGGAGTGCCACCGATCGCGATTGCGATCGCGGCTTTTTTATTCCCCCCCCCCCCCCGCAGCTTGGGGCGGCAAAAACCCTGGAGCCGGTCCTGGTTACGCTGTATAATTTAGCTGGTCTGCCAAGACAACAGTCTCAAAATTTTCCAAAACTATGCCTGTAATACAATATTAGGCAATAAAGACATTGCAATCTATGAGATCATTAAGAAAAGCTAAGTAGCTGTACTAACCATAGATATGCCCTTTATACAGTTAGGTCTAATTTTTCAGCAACGTGTCAGGGTTACAGGATCATATTTACAAATGCCCCTTTCAAGTTGTATCTAATTTCTGACATTCCTGGTGTGTTGGGGAAACTCACCCCATTGCAGATTGTGCTAGGAGTGTTGCATTAAGAAGGAGAATTTCACCCTTGGGGAAATTAAAAGCCACCTCAAAGCAAACCTGAGATGGTAAATGGAGTAGGCCAGAGAGAGGAAGGGCATGTCTGAAAACACAGAGCAATAAGATACTGATTTGCTTTAATGGGGGAGCAGCAGAGAGATTTTGATCTAGTTTTCCTTTACAATATTCATGTATGTATTTATTTCTTCAATTTTTTTTTAAAAGTACAACAATTACAAGCTCCCATTCAGTATTGCTGGCCACTTGGACTTTGAGGTTTGACACCCCAAAATTTAATTCCAGCAGAGTCCATACAAGCTTTTAATACACACTATGCAGAGTAACGAACTGCTTCCTTGAATATTTTTTGCCTTTGACTAAAAGTTTTCATTAATATGCATGTAGGGAACACAATAAAATGGCATATTAACAGTGGACAGGGCATTTTAAATTAATCAAAAGAATAATCTTAAAACACAAGGCAGGTTGTCAGATCTTTATGGTTGTGTTTAGTTTTCACTGGCTGCAGAGCACTCTGAACATGAAAAACACCAGTTACATGCTGCTAAGCATTATTACTGCTGTGTCAACAGAGAAACAGATGCATTGTGGGTTTAAGTTTAGGAAAAGCCAGTAACATAGTTCTATGCATCTGAAGTACTTGCCTTGCCCTATTAGTGTAGTGCCCGGTTGTCTCACAATCTAATGTATTTATTCTCATAACACCCCTATGAGAGAGGGAAGATTATTATACCCATGTTGTAGATGAGAAAACTGAGTAACGAAGAGGCTTGTCCAAGGTTACACAGGGAGTCTGTGGTGGAACAGGACATTGAACCTGGGACTCCCAAATCCCAGATTAATTCCCTGATCTCTAGATTATCCTTCCTCCTTTAGGAGGGTAGCCCAGAAGGAACTGTTTATATCCTCTCACAAAAGCCTCAGGGAGTCAAGCAGAAAGAGCAGAGGAGGTCAGGCCCTAAAAGAGACTCAGACTTTCACTACAAGTACAGTAAATTCATACAGGTCTATGGGATACATTTAATCGTCCAAATATTTTTCAAATAGTCCTTGGCTATTTGCTTTCTCTGATTTATGTGGACACAGAAAACAATTTTAGTTATCCCGTTGAGGCTATTCAAAGTATTAGGAATAATTCCATCTACCATCCATAGTAATGTCACATTGTTAACTGTTGAACATTTCAATATTTGGTAAATTGACATGGAATAACTGTTCTCTGTATAAACTAATTCACATGATTTCTCTGAAAATTTGCAGTGAAAAAACAAACCAACAAAACCAGAAGTCCAAGCAATAGCAATGTTAAGTGTCAGAGTATTAGACTGTGAGCACAATTATAATGCAACATGGTAGGCTTCTAAAGTATCTTTATCAACACACACAGCAGAAACTCACTAGTCCTCATTCATGATTGGTACACCCATTGTGGATTACTGAATTTTGTGAATTATAGTCTGATTCCTGCAATTGCGCTGATATGGAGTCAATTGCAGGATGCGAGCCTTCGTGAGTAAGCAAATTGGGAAACAAATATCAAAGCTATTGTATCAAAGACATAAATTACATTAACAAAATGAAGTATACTTTTAATTATCTGTAACAAGACTTCACTGTATATGCAAGTATAGGATCATAGAAATATACAGTATTATATTTTCTATACATAATGAAAGCTTAATAACAAGACCTTGCTAGTGGCTTAGTCACATGAGAATTAGTGAGGTTCTAGCACACTGTAGAAATCTTTATAGTTTGGCAATAGAAGACACTCTCTTACTCTAGAAGCAGTCTGAGTACATCTATGACCTAGAACTTCTGGCTTAGATCCAAATTGGTCAGAAGAAGAAAAAAAATTCTTTCCAGGTTATCTAGTCTAGCTGGAGTTCTTCCCACTCAAAGACTGCTAGTGTATGGACTGGATTCATCATTAGGAGCCTGGCGACCCAGTTATAAAGCATGGCACTATCAATTCACATTTTCTTCACTTCTCTTTCCTGCCCCCAGTGCTTAATTTGTGTCAGGGCTTCTCAGGGCTGAGCCCCGGCCCCTCTAGGCTTGGCAGTTCATCGCCCCGGCACCCCTGGGCTTGCCACCTCAGTTATGAAAGTAAAAAAAAAAAAATTGCTTGAGCCATGTCACCTTATTGCTTGAGCCCCAGCAGCTCTTTCATTACAAATTAAGCACTGCCTGTCCCCAAGTAATCACAAAGGAATTACTACCAAATTATACTGATTTTACAGGGGTCACAGTTTAAACCAGGCATAGAGAGCATTAAAACCAGCTTGCCCTCCAGTGTCTAATCAATATGTAAATAACAATCCTTTCCCATGCAAAGTGAACACTTGGCATTTTGATTCAAGAGATAATGATTGGACTGTTAACAGACCATCTCACTAAGCAGGAAGACAGGAATGAAAAACCTCGCTGTTCAAAAACAAAGGTACAAATGTGCGCACCAAGAGAATTAGCACTGAAAGAAGGACTACAAGGAAAATGTAATAGGCAGCATTAGAGAGCTCAAATTTAACAAAGTATTAATCTAAACCAATGGTGGCTGCCAGATGTATATTGTATACTGTCTGAATATCATATGTATTTTATTCTGTCTGTAAAAATGGTGCACATTTTGATCATCATTAGAATAGTGTAGGTGCAGAGTACATTTCTGAGAAAGTTTTAGTGCCTGATATCTGTCATGTCAGAAAATATTTTAGGGGCTTGCTTCAGTCTGACAGTCGGAGCACTTTGAACCTTGAAAAGAACAAAAACACAACAGCGACCGAAAGAGATATCAGCAGGAGTGGTGAGTAAAGAGAGTACTGTAGACAGAAAGGCTTTTGTTCCCATGGTCGATTTCATGTGGAGATTGTGAGGTGAATGGCTTTGAAATGAAACTGGTTTATGAAGGAGTTGCTAGGTCACAGGAAGCAGGACTGTCGGAACTTGTTTTGTGTGAGTTGATTTCTTAAAAAACGAAGCTAATCTTTAAAAGATTTCACCCTCAATCTCTCTCTCACGCCCCCCCCCCCTTTCGTAGTAGAAACTCATGTTATAGTAAGTGATCTTTGTTAGAAGGGGCGTTTCAAAAGTTTGGGAGGGGGTGGGATCCATGTTACCTTGTCCCAGCAATTCTGCCCTTTTAGCCAATAGTAGGAAGCTATGCAAATGAGTTGAGTAGTCTGCCTCCAACAATCCCAACATGAGCTCAGAGACATTGAAAATTTAGCAGTACCGAGAACTCTCAAATTAGACTGGCAAACCAACTGCAATTCTGGGACTATTTTCATTTTCGTTCAGTAAGACATTAAATGGGTGGAAAAATACGTGCGACCTCAATGTATGTTGTCTAGTTTCACAAGACTATTCCATATAAGCCTGCAAATATGAAGTATAAGGTAAGGAAGTGGTTTCTTTGAAGGTTTTTTTTTATTAAATGTGTGTGTGTGTGGCGGGAGCCATTTACATCTTTAATTCCAAAGGGAGTCTGAATGACAGCTCCATTCCAGTGCACTGCAGGCTAGGAGAGGGACTGGATGAGCGGGTGTATTCCATATCTAGATTCGATGGATGTAGAGTACTTTGCTTGAAATACCCCAAGTTCTGTCTAGTTTTTAGACTGTGTCAGACTGTCCCTAGGCAAGCTCGCAGCTGATTTCCTGCAACTGCTACAGATATAGTAGTAGTTCAAAGGAGGTGGGAAAGCAGAGCTTCTAGGTCTCAGACTCACTTATTTTTGGATTCATCCTAAGGCAGATTTTAAAGTCTCTCTCTCTTCTGCTGTGAATGACTTTGCCGTGTGTGTTTCAAGGAGACTTTGCAAAATTCTACCCATTTTTTGAAATCGTTAATATTGAGGCTCTAATGTGGATAATTAGTGGATTTGTTGCTCTTTTCTGAAAATATAAGGCATTTTTAGCAGAAAGCCTGGTACACATAACTTGAGTAGTACATGTATTAGGTTACAGTTCTGTTGAACCCTTGTAAAAATTCTTCTTGCGTTCATCCCTGGCAAAACATTAACTGGTACTTTATGAGAAAATGGTCACTTTAATACAGTAAGTACCTGCTGACAAAAGGTTAATGTATAATCAAGAAAAGGAGCTAGCTAGCCAGGAAAAAAAAAATCTTATGCTGACTGAGACATGGTAGGATTCTGTATGAATTTCTTGGACCAAATTCTGCTACTCCATATTCCAGTGTAAAATCTGAATTGACTGCACTGAAGTCAATGGAAGTTACTCCAGATTCACGATGGTGCAGATGAGAGCAGAATTAGGTCCCTTAAATGGAAAATAAGTGATTTTTTAATCTCCTTTGATTTCAAAGGAGAATGTGCTTTCCTGTAACTTTTTTGATGCAAGTACAGTACTATACATATCTGTACAAGGAACTTAAATCTCCCCTCATTTACACCAGCATAATTGCCGTGACTTCAGAGTTTCACTGGTCTAATCAAGAAGGACATTTACATCTGTGGATGTAAAATGTATTTATATATATCAAAATATATCTTCCTAAGTGATGTCCAGCATTATTGTCCAGCACTGTTTATAAATATAGAAATTGTTTTCCCCCTATGAAATGATAAGCCTGTTTCCCACACTTTAACAACATAGGGTTTATGTGAACAAGCTGCAACTTTTTTAACATGGTTTGCTTTAATTAGCTGTGAGTAAGAAACCAATTATATATTTGGAAATTAGAACCATATTCCTCTCTTCACTTTTTAACAAACCAACCAAAACACTTTAATGTATCAGATCTATTTAATACAGTTGTTCTTAAAGACATAAACATGAAGTGCTGATGTGTCAATCAATCATAGTGTTACACAAATTATAAATAACTGGGCAGGGTACTGGATTGCTGCATTAGACTAATGTATAGACATAGATTGGAAAAAAGGGGGAGGGAAAGAATATTTTAGTTCCCACCCTCTCCCCCCCAAAAAACCTCATCAAGGTCAATAAAAAGGTGAATTCTAAAAGTCACACACGTCATTCACACTTAAATTGCAAGCTCTTTTGGGGAAGGAGCAATCTTTTTGTTATATTTGTACTGTATCTAGCACCACGGAGCCCTGATCTTGAGGTGATGAGTGTGCTTTAAGAACCTATGTAGAGTGGAACCTCCAGATGCTACCAGAATACACATAAATAATAGCAATAATACATGTAACCCACATTCACTTTTAACTATGTATGTTCTTATTTGATCCTAAAGCCCTCAGAAACTAAACACTCACGGACTTTAGGAAAGTTTGGATCCAGATCCAGACTTTATGGCCAGCTCCGATTTCTCTAATTAGCTGAACCCCAGATTCCATCTATGGCACCCAGATACCATAGCAATAGGGGTCATATATGACCTAGAATGACAGAAACACCCAGTAACTTGGGAAGTTCAGATCTGGATCTGAACTCTATGGCTGACTCAGTGTTTGTAATGAGTTGAGCCAAAACCACTGATCCAAATGCCCCCAATCTTTAGAGTTCAGGTCCATCTTTATTTGATACTGGTTTGGAGAAAGAGTCACTTACGCGCAGAGAGAACATGGGTAATTAATAATATAACAAAATATGGAAAGCACTGAAACTGCTGCTTCACTTAGTGGAAACTGTCATTTGTTTTAGCATTAATCTTTAGCTAATAAATACATTCTCACTCACAAATGAGCTATACTGTGCTTTGACTGCAAAATGACAGATCTGCAGGATTATACAACTCCCTACAATCTCGTCACCCTTCCTCCCTTGCACACTGCCAAGAAACAACTCTACAGTAGTGAGGTGATCATATTTCACACTAGCCACAAGGCACTGGGAGAATATGAAATAAGCCACTTCCACAACAGAAATCTTCCCTGGTCTGTAATGTTCCTTCCCTGTCTAGTTAGAATGAGAGCTTCAGTTTGGAAGGAGATTACGTAATTTTAGATGGAGCAGGCTAGACAAAGAAAAAGAAAGAACCATAAAAAAGAAAGAAGGTTTTTGGTCTCCATAAACCTTCCTGCCAAACTTGTGTGTTTACATTTCCTGGGAAGATTGAAGTATTTATTTAAACTGTTTATCCAGGACAAATATCCTTAGATCTATTTCTCAGCCACGGGGGCAAACTACAAAGAGAATACCTGCTTATACAATATTTCCTAACTTGAATATACTTTTTATTTTATATTATTTTTCCTCTATGTCCTTGCTTACTGAAGGGAGAAGAAAATAATAGTAAAGTATTAATATTTTAAGTTTTGATTTGAAAAAAAAAATCAGGTTGCATTTATGCCAGGTGTACAGTGGACTTTGTTTCACTAACAGCTTCCTGTAATTTTCCTAGTGCAATAAGTGGTGGCTGCTGATTTGGTTTTGTTTGTTTTACTTTCCTTGTACCTGTACATTAGAAGAGCCTCTGTTTACTGAGGTAACAGAAAACGGTTATATGCCACGTGAAGTGTTGCTTGTTGGTGAGAGAAGGATCTGGCTCACTACCTAACCTGAACTACTTCTTTTTCGTCTTGCTCAAAATCTTCCTCCAACAGATCTGGTAGTGAAAAAGGATTTGCTCACCTAAACTTCTTTCGTTCTTCCGCCTGGTCCTCAAACAAGAGGGGTGAAATTATGGCCCCCACTGAAGCCAATGGTAAAACTCCCATTGACTTCAATGAGGCCACGATTTCACTCCAATTTTTTTTCTCTGTGCCATTCCTTACTCTACTCCCTAGGTCAAATTCAGTGGAACTGTGTCTGTGCACCAGAACTGAATTTGACACTAGGGTAGATGAGCTTTTTCTTCTATGCTTCTCCATCAGTCCTACATCTTTAAGCTCCTAGTTTCTCAATATGTAATTAGTCAGACCTTTATACCTTTCACCTGTGTTCTACCAGATGTACCTACATGATATATTGCAAGCTGTGTTGTGTATGTGTATTTGCATATTGACTGCGAAATGTCTTGTGATTTTGTATGAAAGACTATCAAATATAAATTCCATTACATTGTGATTGTATTGTGGCATACCTCAGGTTCTTTTTCATCCAGTTATGTCATGTTACATCCCATAGACTTTTCACTGGGGGCACGCCATCCCAGTATTACATATTTCAGAAGACTGAATTCACATTTTCTAAATCCAAACCCAACCTACGATTCTGCGAGCAAAATGTCCATTACTAAAACTTTGCACTATGGTAATGAAAATATAATTAGGTGCTACCATGACTAGATACTCTTCCATTGTGTCACAGTGTACTATGATAACAAGGCTTTGATAGGTATTCACCAATCACAAGCAAAGGGGGGAAAAAGTGTATTTGTTATAGAATCCAAAAGGGTGTCTGTGTTGGGTAGGTGGGGGGACTATGACTGCATTCCTCATCTCGTTTAAACAAATAAGAATGATGTAAATGTAAAGTATGAGGTCTTGAGTATCCATTTTTAAATAATTTGCCAGGCAAGAAAGGAACCTAAACCAATTGGTTTGAAATGCCTGCCATTTGTACAGGGCAGTAATATATAGACTTAATTACAATGCCCTGCACGCCAAGTCAAACAAAATAGTGCCACTGGGAAGAAATACTATATTTCCAACCAGAAATGCTTGTGAAAAGCTATTTGTAACCCAGGCAATGAACAACAAATTATTTGACTACGTGAAGGAAAAAGAACTGCCTGTATTTTACTGACCAAAACCCTTCTGTTTTGTTTACTCTTACATTCCTGACTTCACCCTGTGACAGTTGAGGTATGAAAGTGCAGTAAATAAGGTACCTTATCAAAAATTACACCACAGAGCAAATTAAAGTTAAAGACTACCCGTCAGTCTACCAGGCAACAAACAGCGTTTAGACTGATTCAGTCACTTTATATCTTAAAGGGCAGATCATCATCATCAAAAAAGGAACATGATAAACTTGTAACAGATTTTTCTTGCTGATTTTTAGCAGTCTGGAAACCAGTACTGTTGACAGGAAAGATTTTCTTATTAGAAGCCAATTTAGCACTACCAAACTGAACAAATGCAAGTGACACACACTTCTAGAAGACATTACCATTGACAACAATCTTTGCAAGTCTGGTACAGTTTTGAGCCTGCCTCCCTTTAAAATGTTCTCTTTAAGAATTTAAAATGCATTACTCCTCATATTAATACAATTCAGTAATACACATATACGTTTTAATTCATATTGGGCCATGGGACTAATCCTGCAGCCTTTACTCAAAAAAGATTCCCATTAAATTTAATGGGAGTTTTACCTCAGGGATGACAAGAACCATACTGACCCTCATGTCAGTGGAGAGGGGCAATACAAATGGATGTATGTTGGATGAATGTGAAAGAGAAGAGTGCAGTCTCAGCGACCATGGAAATACCTCTCTGTCTACATGCTTTGAAGGGTTT